CAGAAATCATCTTTTTAGTCTTGATTCTGTAAAGAAAAATCCACTAGGAGTTACCAGAAATATAAAACAAATAATTTATCTCTGATTAAATAGTCCAACTTTATATTCCTTCATTTTGTTCTTCACAAATCTTAATCTTTAAATCATTCCATTGGCATTACAAGATTTGATCTTTCATCAATCTTTAATATTCAAGTAGAATTTTCAAAGCTTTCATGAGCTTACTTTGAAAAATAAGTAAAGAGCCATCATCCAATATTTTTTTCACAACTGTTCCATATCTAGATCCTTTTCATTTCTCTTTTGAATTCACATTTTGGTAAACTTAATTTTGTTGTCTTCCATACCTTCAAACTCTGTATCTATATCAAATAAAAGTTTAACTTTTTTTATCATCTTGTAAAAAAAATCCATTGAAATCTGTATTCATTCTGAGATATTAATTATTAGTATCTCAGTCCAGTTATCAAAAAAAATTTCAAGATAAGAAAAAGTTATAACTGGCTTAGCCATTTTAATTCTTTTCTGCCTGCTCCTTTTGTTCCCTCAAAGGTCAATCTGTAACCTTTATTAAGTCACAGTTCCTAATATGGATTTAGCTCCATTTCAATAATTTCCTACAACCATGATTTTTCATATGCTTTTCAAATATTTCAGCAAAAATAACCAATATTAGCAAGAGCACTTAGACTTATATACAGCTTTATAGTGCTTTACAGCCCTCTCTAAGTGGTTTACAGAATCAGCATTATTGCCCCCAACAATCTGGGTCCTCATTTTACCCACCTCGGAAGGATGGAAGGCTGAGTCAACCTGGAGCCTGGTGGGATGTGAACTGCCAAATTGTAGGCAGCTGGCTGCAGAAGTAGCTTACAGTACTGCACTCTAACCACTGTGCCACAGAGGCTCCTGTATATTCTCTGGTCTCTCAATCCATTTAAAACTTTTTAAAATTAATTTCCCTCCTTTTTTGCCAATTACATATTACTATATTTTAAATTCTCAGTTTAAAATTTCTTAAACCCAAAGAAGATAAAAACAGCCTGACATTTTGAAGGTCTCTAATATTGATAAGGTGGTTAAACTGAACATTTCCAAATGTGATTAAAAAGTGAATTGGTATGGCTTAATGTCTTTATGTAAATGCTGAGCTACTGATGAGAGAAAAGACATTGTATTCCTTGGTTCTTGGTACTCAAACTCACAAGAGACTGCTGTTTATGGTCTCCTCACAAGAAGCTGCCATGAGAGCACTCATAACCGATCTCCCATTCTTACTCTCTGGAGAGCTTCAAAAGACCAGTTTACTCACTGGTCTTTCATTCTTCACAGCAATTGTGGTTTTTGCTTATTCATGGAGATGTCTTCAGTCAGCCATGACGCATAGCAGAATCCACAGTTAATATTTTAATGACTTAACTGTTCAGATTTTTTACAGAAAGTGTTTTGGTAAATAGATATGAATAAAATCATTATTTGAACAGTAACTTTAGATGACAGTAGTATACACATACCTCAGCAGTTAGAATAAAATAGTCTTCAGCTGCCTCTTGCCCTGTGATAACACCATGACGGCGATTAATTCCAGCCATGACTGGTCCTTGGAATTCAACTGGTGCTAAGACTTCCACATCCATAATGGGCTCAAGAATACATGTACTTGCCTCTTTCAGAGCTGAGTTAAAAAGGAAGAGATGATACAACACCTATACAGACGTATGCCTTTTTATATTTACTATTTAACACACATCATCACAGAGAGTCATCTTGTGGTAAAATGGGAAGCAAGTAAATTTAATATAAATGAATGAATGAACATCTATATAGAACTGCAGTGTGAAAAAACTTGCTTTCACATCAAGTTGAGTAATAATAAAAAAACATCAGTTGTAAAAAAGAAAACAGTTGCATGATATACCCCAAGACAGGCAGTTTTATGGCCATTCCCAGTTGGAGGAAGCAGAATATAAATAGTAAACTGTCCATCTAGAATCAAGAGGGATTTCCCTTGCTGAAAATTTTGAAATGAGCATCAAGTGACAGTTTGTTAAACACTGCTTAGTGCAGGGATGTCAAACTGGCAGCTGTGGGTCAGATGTGTTATGCGCAGGCCACGCCCACCCCAGCTCCACGAATGAGAAAAATGTTGTGAAACGTCATGTGATGGCAACGTGACACGAGTTTGACATCTGTGGCTTAGTGGATTCCTGTTTCTTTAGAGGGCTGCTGCTGATCTACAAACTTTTCTAACACATTCAATCATTCAAACATTCAATCATTTCATGAAAGTTGCATTCACTTCTTAATATAAAGCCCAAATATGTTTGCAACAACAAGATGAGGAAAATCATGATAAGCAGATATAAATAGGAAATAAATGAACTTCTTCAGAACATAAATGACAAGTCTAAAGACATAAGTGGTGGACAGCAATAAAATGAAAGATGTGTGGGTTGGTTGGATAGAAAGAACTATTCTTATTTTTAAATATTGATATAAAGATACAAATTGGGATCGGAACTATTGTTGCTAAGTGATGGGGTTGTTAAGTAAAAGTAAAAGTCACATCCAATTTTATGACCTTTTTCACAGTCACTAAGTGAAACACCCTGGTCATTAAATGAATCATAGTCATTAAGCAAATCCAGCTTCCCCCATTGGCTTTGCATGTTGGAAATCGCCTGGGAAGTTGCAAATGGCCATCATGCAATTCTAAGATACTACAACCATTATAAATACATGCCAGTTGCCAAGAACCCAAATTTTGATTGCATGTTGGTAGAGATGCTATGATAGTCATAAGCGCAAGGACCAGGTGTTTTTTTCAGCACCCTTGTAATGTCGAACAATCATTACATGAGTGGTCATAAGTTGAAGTCTACCTGTATAAGTATTATGGATAAATGATAAAGAACAGTAAAAGCAAGAGAGAAAGCATTTGAAAAAAAACTTCTTCGTACCTTGTCTCATGGCACCTTCAGCAGCTCGGATGAAAGAGATTTCATTAGAATCCACCATGTGAGAAGCTCCATCCTCCAAGACAAACCGTACCCCTGAAACCTTGTGACCTATCAATGGGCCTTTTTCACATGCATCACGGAATCCCTAAAGAACATGACTGGCCATTAGTGGTTTCTGACCCAAACGATACTGTAGACTGTAACAGGCAGAATGTTACTGAAAATATACATACAGAAAATATGATTCAAAGCAGTGATTTGCAATCAGAACATAATTAGACATACCCAGCATTGAAAATAAAAAGAAACCTTAGAGATAGTGTAAATTAAATAATTATGTGCCATCAAGTGGTTGCAGACTCTTAGAGACCACATAAAGTATTGTAAAATTAGGTTATGGCAAAAAAGAAATGAGGCATTTGAAGATGCCCTTGCATGGTTTTAAAATCCTAAGCAGTGAGGGATGAACTCAAGCCCTATGATGGTCTCCCCATATATCTACAACTTCCAAAAAGTGTTGGTGTTTCCTTAAAATTTGGGATCTAATTCATCATTCTGATTTGAAATGAAATCTCACCATCCACTAGAATGGTAACTCAAAGTAATTGTGCTTTAAAAGTAAAACTATAATAGTACAGGGGCCTACCTACAATCATGTCTGCTTCATGTTTAATGTAATAAAACTAAAATAAATATATATTACCTTTTCAATAGCCGGCAGAAACTGCTTTGGAATATTTGTCCCAACTGTTTTGTCAACAAATTCTACTTTCGTATAATTCTCTGGTTCTAGAGGCTCCAGATACCCTATTACTTTTCCATACTGGCCTGCCCCACCAGACTGCTTTTTATGAGTATAATCAAACCTGCAAAAAAAAAAAAAAATTGAAAATATTATGCTACATGTAAATCACATCCGTTCCTGTTGTTTAATACTATGTGTCGTGGTTATGATGACAAGCAGCTTTGGGTGTGATCAGCAATGATCTTCAGACCTGCAGACAATTTTCAAATACGAACTTCTTATACAAGTGAACTGAGCTTAAATGGACTCCAGATGATGGTAGAGGGCAGGAAGGCGTGGAGAACGTTGTCCATGGGGATGGGTCAGACACGACTTCACAACTAACAAGTGAACAAGTTCCCTCTCTGGATGTGTGAGTGTTGCACTGAAGGACTCTTGCATTTTTATATTAAGACATTTCATTTTAAAGACATTGTTTTAGGGGGGCACCAGGGAGATATTTTTATATATAGGTTATTATAAGCTGTAAATAACTATACTATAGCTTTACAATGCCTTTAGTTTGTGTGAGAAGCGAATAGGGAATTAAGCAGAATTTCTCTCTTTGCACACAATGTAGAATTGAACGGAAGGGTGAACTGCAATTTGGCAGTTCAAATCCCACCAAGCTCAAGGCTGACTCATCCTTCCATCCTTCCAAGGTGGGTAAAATGAGGGCCCAGATTGTTGGGGGCAATAGGATGACTCTGTAAAAGCGCTTAGAGAGGGCTGTAAAGCACTATAAAGCGGTATAGAAAGTCGAAGTGCTCTTGCTCTTGCTAAATGAATGCGTTGAAAGCGCGACTGCAATCTGCAATGACTTTCTGGGGAAGCTTCGGTTAAAAAAAAAGCAAATCCTGCGTCCAGGATTGCCTCAAAGGAAGAAGCCAAATATTTGCTTTTCTCAAGGCAGAGCAGCCAATCCTCCCCCTCCGCTCATGACTTCTTCCCACGACAGCTCTGCGAGGTGGGTCGGGCTAAGGGGGAGCCCGGCCCAAAGCCCCTGGATTGAGGTTGGCTTGCAAGCTCCGCTCGGTAAATAGCCGAACGTAGCTGCAGAACCGACAGGGAAGGAGGAAGCAGCAGCAGCACCGGCCAACCCTTTCTCTGGATTGCCAGCGAACTCTGCCCCCTAAAGCAAACATTCTTCGGGATGGGACGTTATTCTTTGGCCTCTGGCTGCAAATCCCCCTGGAGGCGCTTTCATGGCCCGGAAGAACCGATGAGTCCATAAAGCCGGAACCGATCGCCTTGTTTTTCTTGCTAGAGTCGACGCCGCCCAGCTCAGGCGCCTTCCTCCAGCCCCGCGCGGAAATGCGGAGCCTGCTTGGCGGCCCAGGAGCCCCAGCTCGGCTCCTCCAGCTGCTGCTGCTGCTGCTGCTTCCGGCTTCCCTGGGGCTCGCGGACCCGGAGTGGCCACTGCGCGCCGCAACCGGCTCCGCCCAGCCGCTCCTCAAGAAGTTTGGCGGCGGCGAGCAACTCTCCCCGAGCGCCATGGAGATCCCGCCGTCCCATTACCAGGCCAACAGAGCCGCCGGCGTGGTGCTCCACTACGCCACGTATCAGCGCGGGAGCCCGCACAGCCTGTTCGAAATGGAGCGAGTGCACCAAGCCAGCCTGGAGGTGAGCCCCGGAGGGAGGGAGGGAGGGAGGGAGGCTCCAGGCAAAGGCGCGCGGGCTCAGGGCAGCCCAGCACCGCGCCTCCCTCCCGGCTACCGAAGCCAGCAGTTTTGCTTGGCAGAGCTTACAGCCCTTGCCAAGAGCAGGCGGGAAGAGTCCCGAGGGAGCAGAGCTGGGGGGAAAAAAAAGGGGGGGGATTGGGATTTTGGACCCCGAGGCGCGCGCCCCCCCCCCCACCTTCCTGCTTAAAAACAAAACACGACTTTCCCCTCGTCCAAACTGGTCTCCTCGCCCACGGTACGAACTGCATCTGCTTCAACTCAGGATGTCACCCCTTTGTGGGATTTCCCCAAGCTCTCGATCCTTGCATTTCCCAGACAGGGTCAATAGCAATAGCACTTATGTTTATATTCATACAGCATTTATATGCCGCTTTATAGCCCTCTCTAAGCGGTTTACAGAGACGTCCTATTGCCCCCAACAATCTGGGTCCTCATTTCACTGACCTCCGAAGGATGGAAAGCTGAGTCAATCTGGAGCCAGATAAATAACAGATAATCTGAGTTGGAAGGGACTTTATAGGTCATCTAGTCCAACCCCCTGCCCAAGCAGGAGAGCCTGAGAGACTCGAACTGCCCAACCTGCTGGCAGTTAGCAGAATTAGTCTGCAATATTGCATTCTAACCACTGTTCCACCAGGGTTCTTAAAAGTGGAAATATCAATAGGAAACATTTAAAAAAAAGATTGTTACAATTGTTTGTATTCCATAAATAACAATACTGATCTGGTCAAAATAGCAACTGAAAATCACTGAAAAAGTTGGGACTATACTCTCGCAGCCTCATCATCATACTTATTGGGGTTATAGGACTTGTAGTCCTCAAAACACCTGAACACAAGCTGGAAAGGATGGAATAAGTGTGTCCTGTGTTTACCCTTGCAAGGCTGCCACACCATGAATTTGATAAAGACAACAGAATTGGAAAGAATCACTTTATGACAATATGACAGTTCACTATGTTTTCCAGCAAACAGCTTAAGTTAAGGCTTTTACACCTTTCCTGTTTTCAGTACCAAACCCATTACAGACAAACAACAGCAACTTCTACTAAAATATTCAAATCCATTACAGACAAACAACAGCAACTTCTACCAAAATATTCAAAGCAAGCAATGTAATAATTATCTGTTTATTTTAGGACATCCCAGATACTGGGCATAAATACCACCTTAAGTTTGAAGTGAAAGAAAGTATACAGAATGTAAGTTTGGGTTTTGTTTTTTGTTTAGTATAAGCTGGATGGCATTTAGAGACTGACATAGATCTGGAGGCCTTAATCTGCATCTCCACCCCAAACAAACATACGTAATGTGGGCAGCCCTGCCCAAAATCACTATTTTTGAGGCTATTATTAGGAATGAGGAAAGCTGTTTTGAGAAAGGCAAAGGGAAAGCTGCTGGGGTATTTGTTTATGGATGCATGTCTGTAGGGGCTGAGGTTAAAACCCTTCCTCTTTTCTAAGCCAATTTCCTCATAATCATAGGTTAGAAGTGTCTTCTAATCCAACTACCTGTCTAGAGCAGGAATCCTCAGATCATCCACCTTGTCATGGTTGCCGATAGCAATAATTGTGATGAAACATTGTTTGTGAGTGAGAGAACAAATTCAAAGGTATTGTAATTTATTAGTCATGTTTTATGATTTAAGCTCACTGTGAACCCAGCAACTGTGGTTTATTATATAATGGCAATTAAAACAAAAGCAAAGCTCATTGTTCTTCACAATCTAGTAAGTAAAGGCTTAAAGCCATTCCACCCTTCCCAAATCTCTATTCCCATCTAATACACATCTGATGCTAGTGTGTATGTATGTGTACGTTACCTAAAAAGAGGAAAAAAGCATACACTGACTCACAAAAAAAGCTTTAAATAAAATGTAAAACCACTTTAAAAAACAAGGACTTGTTGTGATATTGCATTCAATTTTTTTTAATGGAGACCTTACATACTATCAAGTTCTTGCTAATGAATTATCCCACAATACAACGTGGAGGATAAATATGAAATGACACCTATCTTTTCTATGTAAATGGTTCTGGTGACATGACAGAGCAGAAAGAAATAGAACAGAATCCATCATTGAAGGGAGTTGTAAACCTTTCAGCCATTATTATTACCCACAAACCTTAAAAGTTGCCAAGGTTGAGCAACATTGCTGTAAAGTAAGATTTGATCTATTTCATTCAGATGGCATCAGGTTTACTGTGAATTAAAATAAAGCCAAATGGTAATCCCATGCTGCTAGCAATACCTACAGAAGTTTTAAACTGGTCCAATTATTTCTGCAACAGGGCAGCTCCCTGAACTGCACAGCCGACATACTTTATCATCATGGTGACACACCTGTTGCTCCTGAAATACATTATACTATGGAAGGGGAGTTTGAGACACATTCGAAAGAAGCAGATAACCTATTCTACAACAGAATTCTGCACTTGTCAGAACCATTAGAGACCAAAAATATACCAGGTAAACTAAATGTTGCCATTTAAAGTGTTGCATTCTGAAGTTAAATAACATCTATGTATCTATTTTTGTTTTCAAATAACCAGTGACAGGAGACCTAAACTTAATCTATTACAGTGTATCTTCCTACCTAAAAACTGATAGGGAACTCCAGAGATTCTTCCCTTCCTTTTATGGCAGATTTTGCATTTTTCTTTTCCAACATAAGTTGGAAAAGTTCTAGAAGCCTGACCATATTCCTATTCATTGGGATGTGTGACCATTTCCTGCAGGTGAATAACTATATTAAATATATTTATGAGATTTTTGCATCCTTTAAAAAAAATATTGTTCTGCTTTATTTCATTTCTGTCATTCACCATCTAAATAAGGTGAAAATAAGATCTGACTTTTGTTTAAACCAGTCAGAGTCATCATGATACAGTTATTTTGAAAACTGTGTTTTGATATATGGAAATACAGAAAATGTAAAGTTTGCACTGTGATATCTCATCCTTTTCTTAAAATCCATAAATAAGCAAAGATAGATAAATATATTACTTGCATTTCTGTCTACAGTGTTTTATTTTTTTTATTGGAAACACATAATGATAACAAACCAGGAGTCTTAAAAAGTGAATCCTGGTCTATGCGTACTTACGTCATGGTAAGTCTATTACTTTAGTATAAAATACCAGATTTTGTTTAAATTCCAGAAGATTAACATGGCTATACACTATATTGCCCAGATTTGTTGGATGTTTCATTTCTAAGGGGTAGCACTCCCCCCGATAAAGTTGGTGCGGTATCTTGGGGCCATCCTCTGAAAGCAAATGGCAACGTTAACCAGAGGGGCCTTTGCAAGAATTTGTCTTGTGTGCAAGTTGAATCCACTTCCTAGACCAGGGTGGAGTGGGCTCTGCTCACTGTCATTCCTGCCTTAATCACTTCCCAATTGGATAACTGCATTGTGCTCTATGTTGAGTTGCCCTTAAAGCTGCCATGGGGCCAGGTTACTTGCTGGTCTCTTAAAGCAGTGGTTGCCAACCAGCGGTCTGGGGACCACTGATGGTCCACGAGAAAATTTTGGTGGTCCGCAGAGAAATGTCCCCCCCAAAGCAATTAATTCAGACTGTGCGGGAACACAAGGCTGCGCTGCCCACATGGTTCGCGGGAACACAAGGCTTGCGTTGCTTGCATTGCGAACAACATGAGGTAGTGAGGGGAAGGGGGAAAGAGCGGAGGGGGAGAACTTGCCCCACTCGCCTTGCCTGGCCACCGGGCTGCTTTTTTCCGCTTTTTCTGCTTTTGGCTGCACACAAGGAAAGCAGCAAAAGTCTTTCTTTCTCTCCCTCATTTCTGGAGGAGTTTGGGGGAAAGAAAGACTTATTTTGCTTCTGCTGCTTTTCTCTCTCTCTCTCTCTCTCTCTCTCTCCCTCCCTCTCTCTCTCTCTCTCTCTCTGTCTTAAGGTTTCTGCTGTTCAATATCTAATAGAATTGGAATGATCAAAATCCTTTCTCTTAAACACTATAATCTTACAGGACCTTCTTTGTCATGATTGGTGCTCTATAGAACAAACTTACCCTTGAGATCTGGAGAGACCTGACCCTCTCAGTCTTTCAGAAGGCTGAGAAAACCTTCCCCCCCCCTCATGCATTAGACCAGGATGTGTGTGTGGGTGCCCATTATATGTCTTTTTTTGTGAATTATGAAATTTTAGGATATCTTTTTCTCCCCAATGTTTTTTTTTTTACTAATATTGGATTTTTAGTAAGGTGTTCAACACCCAGAGTTATACATTTAAGATGGGCAGCCATATAAACCAATCAAAATTATTAATGGTCCCAGCAATGATGCAAACTAATAATCGTATTTAGCTATAGGATGTTTGTAGCTACCATATTAGAATTATAAGTACCTCCAATAGAGTAAAACATGCCCAGTATTGCCCACATAGTTTTTTCTCTCTTTTTTCAATAGTTATTTCAGCTACATAGCTACTAGATCAAAGTCCAAGTTCCAGATACACAAGAAAGAATGGATGTTGCATACCTAGATAAATTTTACTAAAGCATGCATACTTACAATACTATGCCTAGCCCTGCATTTCTCTGTCTCAAGGTTTATTTCAGTACAACTTTTACTTATATTATCAGATAATGATGGAAATATGCCAGCAGAAATGAAGCCTATTTTCAACTTAGCCAAGGTTGCCTCTGGATATATAATATGGCAGAATTCGACAGAAAACACCTGGTACAATATGATTCAAATTCAAAACGTCAAACAAGTGGTAAATCAAAGCCTTAACCAACTTCAATTAGAGTTTCTTCCTACTTCTACGTTATGACTGTTTTAAGAACGCCAACCTCACTATTTATGACTCAAAAATTGCTAACTCATTTCCCCAGAGCAAAATTATATAATGCAACTGTCCAGTAACTTGACAGTGAGATGGGCGGTATAATAAATTTAATAAAATAAGCAATAAAGAACTACAGGTGCCAAAGAATAATAGAAGTCATGTTACTTGGCATTCCCCTCTTGAGAAATCAGGACTCCGCAAATTACAAGATCCATCAGCTCAGGAAAGACTAACACAAATGCCAGATGAAAAGGTGAAAAGGGAGAGAGAGGTCTATTTTACTGGTTAGTTGCAGAAATCTTGAAGACCAGATCCAGGCCTTAAGCCAGACATTTCCTGGACTAATGGTTGCACATTTTTTTTACAATTTGGTAACAGGTTATTTGAGTTTTGGGATAAAACCAAAAGCAAACATGAGCTTATAGCACAGTATAAATTAGTTCCTGCAGTATGCTGCCTTTAAAAAAAACAACAACCTTGTGTTCTGTTTTCCCCTGAAAGTTATAAGGAATATGAGGTCACAAAAATCTAGTAAGCTATGGAGTCACCCCCTAATGATTTAATATTATGGGAAAATAAGGAAAGGGTCATAAAATAAGCAAAAATAAGCAAACAATTTGCTGGGATAAGACAAGAATGTTTCTTCTTAGGAGAGAATATAACCCTTTGGATTTTTTAAAAGAGAAAAGTTGCAAACTATAGTTGCTTGAGCCAGTAGAATTCTTTTTTTAATGTGGGGGTTTTGAATCTAAGCTAATATGATTAAAAGGAAGGAAAACTAAATCTCTTCTGATTATTCAGTTCTTAAATATACATTCTGTATATTACATAAAATTAATTATCTGTACTTAAATGAGGACTGTAGTTGCAGAACAGATTTTCCGTTTTATGGTTTCAGAAAAGAAATGATGACTATCTTGAATTTTCCTATGAGGTTTTATTCCATGATATTGCCTCCCAGGTAAGCAATATTTTGAAAACAGTTTTTTTTAAGTGCACAGTGGAAGCTTTACATCTTATTTTCATATAACAACAACACTGGAGTGTCCAGGCAACAGTCAAGGACACTAAAGTGGATATATCAGAAATGGTTCCAAAATAGGGAGTAGTGCTGTACAGACAATCCTCGACTTACAATAGCAATAGGACTTAGACTTGTATACCACTTCACAGTGCTTTACAGCAGAGGTGGTATTCAGCAGGTTCTGACCAGTTCTGGAGAACTGGTAGCGGAAATTTTGACTAATTTGGAGAACCGGCAAATACCACCTCTGACTGGCCCCGTCCCCATCTATTCTCTGCCTCCCAAGTCCCAGCTGATCGGCTGGGTCTTCTTTTGTTGTCCTGCACAGGAGAACGGAACTGAAAAGCAGGTTAGTGAGGTGGGGTAGGAATGGAGATTTTACATTATCCTTCCCCTGCCATGCCCACCAAGCCAAACCATACCCACCAAGCCATGCCCACAGAACTGGTAGTAAAAAAATTTGAATCCCACCACTGCTTTACAGCTCGCTCTAAGAGGTTTAAAGAGTCATCCTATTGCCTTCAACAATCTGGGTCCTCAATTTTACCGACCTCGGAAGGATGGAAGGCTGAGTCAACCAGAACTCAAACTCCTGGCAGTGAAGAGTGAGTTAAATCTGCAATACTGCATTCTAACCAGTGTGCCACCACGACTCCTACAACCACAGCTGGAAGCAGAACTTCTGTTGTTAAGCGAGTCATGCCCAGTTTTAAAACCTGGTTGCCACGGTCTGGACTGGATCACGGCAGTTATTAGGAGTCTCATGCAATTGTTAAGCAAATCCAGCTTCCCCCATTGACTTTGCTTGTTGGAAGTCAATAGGGAAAGTCCCAAACAGGGACCACATGACCCTGGGATGCTGCAACCATTGAAAATATACGCCACTTGCCACACATCCAAATTTTGATCATGTGACTGGAGAACGCTGCAACGGTTGTAAGTGTGTGGATCGCTCAGTCATGTTTTCAGTGCTGTTATAATTTTGAATGGTCGTAAGGCTACAACCTGTAGCCTGTACTCTTAAATGCAGCCTGCTTTGATTCATGCCCAGCAAAACATTAAGAGCAAGGTAGCCCGAAGAACAAATAACACTATTAAATTAGTCGAAAGCAGATCCCAGCTTTTGTTTCCAGAATGGGAACATGGCTTAATGCTATAATTTGGGATGTGAAACACGTGGCGTCACATGACCAGTGGTGGGATTCAAATATTTTTGCCACCAGTTCAGTGGGCGTGGCTTGGTGGGCACACTTTGTGCACGTGCACTCACTTTGCGTGCAACCGCGTGCCAAACGCACACTTTGCGCAGGCACAGAGGCGTTCTAACTCACCTCCTGCAAGCCCGCACAATCTCGGTCGCTTCAGGAGCTGCTGCGCGGCACTATTCTGTGCTGCGCAAAGCAGCTGCGCTTCAAATTCAGCGGATAAAGGTGAGTATGGGAGCCTGGGTGGGCCCAACAGCAGAGTGGTGGAAAGAACTGAATTTTGATCACATGACCATGGGGATGCTACAACGGTTTTGTGAAAACTGGTAATAAGTCACTTTTTTCAGTGCCGAAAACTTTGATTGGTCACTAAACAGTTGTACGTCGAGGACTACCTGTGCTTGACTGACTCCTCAGTCAAGTACAGGTAGTGGCTGAGTTATATTAATTACAATCCTGCCAGCTGGATATGCTCATATATTTTATCTAAGTATAACCATTTGGCCCTAGCTTAAAAACTGAACTGTAGAACGAGTGCTGCTATTCAGAACTGAACATATTGGAGTGGTACATAAGCCAGAACAATCAATCACCCTGCTGGATTTAGCCCAATGTTCAAGCCGGTCAAGGACATTTTGAAATGTGGCTTTGCTCTCTAAAGCTTTAGCCGCTCACTCTGTTTTAGTATCATATGCAGGTGGAGTCCTATTGCTGGTGTGAGTTAATTGCAAGGTTATAGCAAAGTCTGCCTCCTACTCTTTTCCTAAAAACACCCTAGCACTGCAAGACAATGCTAGCCAGGAAACCCATCTCCATGCAAATCTGAAATATGGGAAGACTCAGCGGTGGTACCGCATATCATACAGGAAAGGCAGTGGGGGAACTGAAATAGCAGAAGTACAAAGGACAAGGTTGGAGATGCATACGCAAACACAGGTGCACATTTTCACTGGAATCTCATGATCCGCAAAGTTCAACTTACTAGGGCTCTGAAGTTCCTCTCTATTTCTACACTGGAAGCAATTTCAGCAGCCTTGCAAACTTTTTGTTTCACGATTCAAAAGCATTACAGATCTGGCTTTCAAATCAAAGTACATCAGACAATGTTTTAGGATGTTTTTCTGTGATCCACATTCTGAATTGCCAGGTCTATAGCTCAATAACCTTTATGAATAGGAAAAAGAGGTAGGAAAAGAGGAAAGAAATGGAACGTGGCATAAAGTACCAAAAAGAAAAAAAGGAGCAGAACCTTGTTTTGGTGCCATACTTAGAAATAAAATAATACTTCCCAGATTTCCCTAAAACTTGAATATTTCTAATATTTGGTGTTTTTTTATTTGCAGGAAATTATTCCTTGGCACATGGAAGTTCTATGGCATCCACAGCACGGAGTGAAAGTAGCACAGAATAGTTGCCGGTCAAAGTGATATTAATTAAATCTTACATGTTCTTAAACTGGTGAGGTGATAGCAACTACATACAGCTAATAAAAATACTATATGGAGGCTTTAGATACCCTTCCAATTCTGTATATCCTCCAAGAACCTAAATAAAATGTTACACATTTACACACTGAAACAAATGTGTTTGTGTTTATTTTCATGGTCATGATGTGCACTGAAGATGGTGTTTGATTTCGTTGTACGAGGTGCAATGACAATAAAGTAAAGTAAATATCCTCAGATCCTGGTTTGGCAGCACTTACTCATTAGACTGAATACTTACGGTATAGTGGCCTCAATGCTCTCTCTGAATGCAACTTTAGGCTTCCCAGTCACACAAGGACAACCGTATTCTCTTTCCATTCTCTAAACACAAAGGACACAAAGTTTTTACTGATTTAAACACACTGCCAAATAGATACATCTTGGTCTGACCCAAACCCTTTTCCAATAAAACCAACACGAACCAAAGGGAACAGAAACCTTTTAATGATTCTCACGAATCCCCGGTTAAAAGGCTGCTGCAAGCTAATTAACTTTGATAAGCACGAGACTCGCCAAAACTGTGCGAGGCTGCCAAGAATAACAGATAAGGTTACCTAGAGATATTTTACAACACAAGAGTTTTCAAATACCAACTAAGATACTGCAATGTTTCAAAACGTCTTTGCTTCCTGCAAAGAACATCTGATTCACAGCTGGCTTTTATCTTCTTGAAGGAGGGGCCATTACCTTTCAGCCTTACTCCCAAGTCGCCCATGCTACTGCAGCTGCTCTTTCCTGCGAGCAGCCCTGCCCTGCACGCACACTTGGCACAGGCTCCTCGGGAACCTCCTCATCGCTGCTGCCAGCCCCCACAATCTCTGAAGGCAGCAGTCCACTCCCTAATGGTCCTGGCACCTCACCTGAGTCCTTGCTCTCCTCAGCCATCTGCACTTGCTGCCAGCGAACCACATCTTGACTAAACGCCCTAATTTAATGCCATTAAAACAGTAGAATCCCAACAATGCTACCACTGAAACAAATGCAAGCCAAAATTGAGGAGGCAGAAAGAAGATACTCCGATTTCTCCCTAAATAGGATATTTTACGTAACAGATGCAACCTTGTCTCCTAATGTGTAAGTATAATATTTTTCTTTAGTAAAAATGCATTACTCCAAAAATGGAAACCTGGACTTCAGCTATCATAATACAAGAAAGTGCTAGCTGAATGATTTATTTGGTGAGATATGGAACTGGTAACTGTACTAGATTCCGACAGGCCAGATTAAAGAAATGTTTTTGTCAAGTGACAGTACAATTGCACCATTGCCCAGTGTAAACATAATACTCACCTGAGCATAGATTTCCAGATGTAGCTCTCCCATTCCTGAAACAATTGTCTCTTTGCTCTCAGTGTCAAAATGGACTCGGAAAGTGGGATCTTCTCTTACAAAACGGTTAATGCCTTTTGAAAACCTGTCATCATTCTAGGAGACAGAATATTTTTTTCCATTTTTTTATATGGTTGCTTACTTAAAGTGACTCAAAGTACTATAAAGTGGATTAAAAACATGATTTAAGAAGTCCTATGACCAAATTCACTAACAATAATGCAACAAAAGTTAAATAAGAAATAATTAGGTGATTCACAAATTGCCCTGCTGAGAAAACATTAAAACCGATCATCCTTTGCTGAGGGTCAACAGGGTTAGGGCCAAACAAACCTCAGAGGGAGTTCCAAATTTAGGTGCAGCACTAGAGAAGGCACACCCAAGGGATCCCACAACATGACACTGGTTCAGCCATTTGAAGTAGGCCAAATCAGTAAATAGGCTAGGAGCAGTCCAATTCAGGGCCATCATTACCTGCTTATTCCAAATCATGACAACAAACCGATCTAGTATGTCAAGATCTTGAAGGCCTATTGAAGGTTCATAGTTGTCATGCTGGCCATGAAGAGCCAAGCTACTTCAAATTTAGGACCAAACGTGGGCAAGTAAAAGTCTCCAAATTCCATGCGTGTGGCAAATTTCACCATCAGCTTTAAGGAGTTCAGGCAGAAAAGCCATTGCACAACAGGAAAGCCAACACAGCAGTAACAATCTCAACTGATAAAGAATCTGGTTATCTGTGAGGCATTCCTCTTCAATACAAAATCCAAAAGAGTTCACATTTTTCCATTCACGGAATAGTTAACAATTCAAAAAGCTGAGTTTCTATCAAGGCTTATTCTGAAAGAGGACACCAACATACTTGCTACAAATGGAGAACTTCTTACTCAGGGTCAGATTAACTTAACTAAGAACACAATCAAGAATGTAAAAACAAAAATCTCATGCTGACACTTAAGATATCAAACCTATCAAAAGTTTATAGACAGTACTCAAAATGACCACTCATCACTGAAGTTATGACCCTGAACAAGTGGTACTTTTGACTGATCCTCCAAGTTCTAGTCACAGCACCCTTGTGGTCACATGATCACGAATTAGGTGCTTGATAACTGGGTCACACTCGAGACTTGCAGCATCCTGGAGTCATGTGATTGCCATTTGCAACTTTCCCTGTTGACTTCTCACAAGCAAAATCAAAAGGGAAGCTAGCAGTAAAAGTTGCAAGTTCTCCCATAAGTCACTCCAACTGTTTTTTCTACTAAGGAACTCTACTATGGAGTACAGAGATCTCATACTCTTTAATTCAGGTCATGGTTGTCCCAAATGTGCTTTTTCAGGATGCTTCTTATTCACTATTCAGATGACACAGAGGACACAAGTGGTCTCAGCGACACTCCAAAAAGAATGCAAATGACTAGCTGTCTGCAAGGAATATTAATCCTTCCATTCCCCACCATCCAGTCAGAGCTGAAGCTTCTTGGATGAGAAGCAAAAAGTCTTCAAAGAAAAAAAAACACCAAGAAAATCCAGCTGCCTCCTGAAAAAGCACCTCTGGGACTTGTGAGCAGGATTTGTAGCTTCCTATTGGCTTCCCCATTGCTTATCCTAGTCCTAGTCACATGAGATCATCACTTAAGGAACTGTAATCCTCACATAATAGCAATAGCACTTAAGACTAATATTCTGCTTCACAGTGCTTGACAGCCCTAAGTGGTTTACAGAGTCAGCATAATGACAGCAACAGGGACTGCCAGGATTCATGTTGCTAAGCAATGTGGTCATATAATGTTGTGTTTTATGACTGCACTGCTTAGCAATGGAAATTCCACTTGCAGTTATTATTGTTCAGTTTCCAGCTAAAATGTTTCAACTACATTTTAATGGCAGAAATGCCACCGTACTCTTGCCTACTACTACCAAAAAGCCCCAATCAGATAATTTATTTATTCCATCAGTTTTGTTTTTTTAACTTCAGATCCCAACCTTATTGACTGGCTTCATTGTTATGGAAACAACAGGATCAGGCACATGAATGGGTTCCTATAAAGAGAATCCACAGAAAACAATTTCTCAGTATAAATTTTCTAGAAATCATCATTGCTGTTAGACAAGTCCTTCCAAAGATTAAAAACAAATTGATAAAAGCATAATTAGATAAACGTGCATCTTCTTGAATATGTTTCATACCCATTATATTGTTCTAACAGACTAGTTTTGGAATATCATTGTACTGTCTTCCTGCATTTTCTATAATTCAAAATGTCCAGTGTTAGATCCTTATTATTGCAAGATTATGTAATGTTGGAGAGTTGGAGCCCACTGGATGATGCTTATATTGTTACCAGAAACAATAGGGTTAATTATTTTTATCCGTGCTTTGGGGAAGTTAAGGGGAAAGGCTTCTAAGATGGAAACTGCTCCAACTCCAAATATTACATAACTCCTTAAAACATGAAATCATGCTGCTGAAATTCAACTATTTTGGTGGGTGCGCTTTGGGGTTCTACCTCACTTGTACTACAGGATCAAATCTGAGCATTTCAGGGAGGGGAAAATTTAATTAAATAAGACACCAAAAGCTTTCAATTATGGCATGCAGGAAAGAGATTGGATGCTTTTAGGCTACTACTTTACAGTTGGCCATGAATGTGCCTGAACAGATCTACTGTCTTGTCTATGTCTCCAACATGCCTAACCACTGGCTGCTACTGATATTTGAGGCTTGTTCGCAGTTTGTATTCACCAACAACCAACCAAATGTAAAAGTAGCCAAAAAAAAATTATGTCAGGACTGTTCATTAACAAGGACAAAACTTGTATCTTAAAACAAGTCTGTGGCAGTCATTGGAGAAATAAATAGGACACAGCAATTTGCAGAATCTGGGACATTCATGACTAACTGTAAGTGTTGTTGCAAATCTGCAGCATATATGAGTTAATAATAGAATTACTGTTATATATATATTCAAGAACTAAATATAGAAATAATGCTTGCAGATAGAAAATGATGTTCTTTCTTTTGCCTCCACCTTCTGTTGTAATTACAGCTGTGCAACCTATTGGTTAGTTTTACTACTACCTGTCAATGAAAAAGTCGTTTGTCACTGAATCTTTTTCACACAGTCCTGCTTTAATTAAAATGTATAAAATAAATCACATATATAAAAGTTCACAAGACTTCATTTTTTTCACCCTATAAAAGTACATCTGCAGAATGCTACACCTTTCATATCACTCTATTGCAATCAATTGAACACAATGTTTAATAGGAAGGACAACTTCTTCAAATGAAAGCTGAAATACAAGAACTTCATATACCAAATTTTGAGACACATGATAGAAATATAAGACCTGAGTGAAACATAATATATATATAAACACTTACCATAGAAAGGTCAGTATTGTCTTTCTCTGTGAATGTATCTCCACTAGCACAATCGATGCCAAAAAACGCACAGATATCCCCTGCGTAAACCTCATCCACATCCTAGCAAAATAAAACTATGTTTTAGATATTATATTAGATATGTGGCATGAGATGCTGTTGGCAAACTATAACCTTAATAAACAGAAACTGGCTCCACTAATTTTAGTGGAT